GGCCTGAGGGTATATGATGTACAGCTTTTTTAATTATCAATCAATTCAGCCTCCACAACCAACAAAAATGGTTTATGGAAAAAGTTGTGGTGGAGTATGTGTAAAAACAGTCTCCAAAGTTCTAAACATGCCCTAATTGGAATACCTAATTTAGAGTTGTCACTTGCCAATGACTTCTGTAAACATTTAAAGGCCTCTGCAAAACTAAATAACTTCAACATGCAAGTGGAAAATGTGCACTTAATTAAACAAGAGCTAATCTCCTTTTCGGATGAATAAAGGAGCTAACCTGGTCGAAAAGAAAAAAGCCCTAACAGGGATAGCCGCAGAGGCAGAGGCAATAATATCGTCCTCGTCGTCCTCTCTCAAACTTTTCTCATCGATCTCACTTGTGGCTTCGGGGCCTGAAGCAGCTTCGTTCCACTCCACCATATGAGCAGAAGACGACGCAGAAGAAATGCTCTTAACCGGGCAAAAATCAGGAATACGTCGAACGGAAAGCAACTTGTAGCCGCCGAATACTGCTCTCGCAGGAACATGGCAGCCACGGCTGAGAACATTGGAAAAGTATCGAGCAATAGGCTTCGAGTGCAGCGGGGAATTGGAATGGTAGATCAGAAGAGATCGAGACGTCGTGGTATGCGCTTTGCCGGAGTGCGTGAAAAGCGTGCGGAACTTGCCGGCGTCGACGAGGACGGCCAGATGATCGCGGGGCCTCAACATCGTCCTCATAGTTGCAAAATCCCGGCTCTTGAAAACCAGGCGGCTTGATTAGGTCGAGGGCGGGAACAGAGAAAGAATAAAGCTGCCCCAACATAATGTGAGGGTTGCAGTCCTTAACGTGGCAGAGCAGGTGTCTATTTAAGCATTAACTTATTTTTTTGTTTATTACTCCGTATTAATTCTTATTAAAATTAAATCATCAGATCAGACCTCATTAGCTCCAATCCGACCAGATCTAAACAATATTATTATTATTATTATTGTTTTTATTATCATTACAATTATTGTTACTCATATTATTATTGTTATTACTATTACTATTGTTATTATTATTAATATTTCTATTATCATTATTACTGTTATTATTATTATTAATATAACTATAATGATGATGATGATTATTATTACCATTATTGTTACCATTTTTATTATTAATATAACTATTATGATTATATTAGTATTATTATTATTATTACTATTATTATTTCTATTATTACTATTAGCATTATTATTATTATAAAAGTAATTTTAATTTTAATCATATCAGATCAGATTAGACCACATCAGATCAAACCAGACCAGATCAGATCAAAACTTCAAAAAATTAGATCAGATGAGATCAGATCAGACGAACGGAGCGCACCTTTAAAGGGTCTATGGATAAATCGAGGTTATTGAGTATGGGCATTTGTTACAGTATTTTTAAACAATTACTATGTAGTATTTTGACCCGTGTAATGTACGATGTTGAATGATTTTTTTGTCATTTCTATAAATTATCTTCAATGTTTTATTTTTAATAGAATTTACAAAAAAACATATGTCATGCATTCTTTAACACTATAGACTTTAAAATCAAAATAAAATAAATAATTTAGCATTTAATATTTGTTAATGAAAATTTGTATATTTGAAAGAAAAGAATCCGCTACCTCCAACGGATATATGGAACCTTATTGGATCGCTGAATTTTGAGGGAAGTCACAAGAATCATGCGTACGTGTTCCTTTTGGAGAAATTTGTGACTGTGAAAGCAATTCTTAGATTACCGGAGGAAATACGCGGAAGTTTTCTCAATGATTTTCTGAACAAGGAAGGTATCTGAAGTGGTCAGTATTTTATTTATTATAAGAATTGTGTCTAAATATGTCGTTTTTTGTAAACATATGTTACATTTGAAGTCATTATTGTCCATGTTTTTTTATGTGTGGAAGAACAATATGGTTGATTTTTATTATGAAATGTATGACAACTAAATTTTGATTAGTTGCATTTATATAAGATGATGTTACTTGAATGTTTCGTCCAAATAATTTTGGAATTGATGTAAAAATAATTTTGTATATATATTTTAAGTACGCATATAAAGCCCGTGCAATCCACGTTGTAAAAACTAATCCATACTTTATTTAAAAAGCCATGAATTCCTGAGATGGTTTTCCCGCCCATTTGGTATTGCAATAAAAATGGTAATTGTTCACTTAAAATGGTAATGACTCAATTACAATTAATGATTAAATTAAATAATTACCTTTATATGGCCAACCTAATTATGACAATTGATGGCAATTAATGTTACACGGTTAAACAATAATAATAATGCTAACGTGATTAATTTAAATTGGAAATGATTAAAAAGGTAAGTAATTTAAATTGATAATTAATTATTATGCGGTTAAAAAATAATAATAAATAGTAATAAATAATTAGTCAAAAAATTCGGTATTAACACAACTCCTTTTTTAATAATAATTATTATGAAAAACTTACCAAACGTGATTGTAAAGAAATAATAATAATACTAACGTGATTAATTTAAACGGGAAATGATTAAAAAGGTAAGTAATTTAAATTGGTAATTAATTATTAATCTACTTACCTTTAATAACTTTAATTTTAAACTTACTATTTTTCGATAACAAAATGGTAATTGATTATTACCAATTAATAAGGTAGGTATATTGGTTAAAATAAATGATAACAATACTAGAATTAATTATTACACAGTTAAACAATAATAATAAATAATTAGGCAAAAAAATCGGTATTAATACAGTTCTTTTTTTAATAATAATAATTCCTTTTTTAATAATAATAATTACGAAAAACTTACCAAACGTGATTATAAAGAAATAATAATAATGCTAAAGTGATTAATTTATGGTTGCGAATAAGATTAATTTTTATGAGGTATTAATAATTTAGAATTATAGAAAGTAAATAATGGCATAATTTAAATTTTTAAATTCATTTCAAGCAATCACGAAAGGCCAAAAAGGAAATAAATACTAATTCCATTTAAATACCTAAATTAGTTACATATTTTCTAATTTCCTAATTAATGAAATAACTGAATTGCATTGTTTTTTGGTATTAATAATTAAGTATTATATAATTTAAATAATTTCCTAATTAAAAATTTTAAGTACATTTTAAGTAGTCAAAACGACCAAAAAGGAAATGGAATATGGGTAACGATTAATTTTATTTCATAAAAACTTTATAAACAAAATTATATTTAATAACAAAATTCTTCATGAGTATATTAATTGGTAACTGATTAATACTCTTGGAATTATGTTATTAAAATACGTAACTAATTTATGAAAGAATTTAATAAAGTTTAGTATTATAAAGAGTAAATAATTTAATATTTTAAATTATTTAAAATCTTTCGAAAGGCAAGTGCCATCGACAAGGAAAATTATTTCAATAGTCGATTAAAGTTCTTAATTTTAAATAATTACTATAAGCAAATATATTTTTTTAGTAATACAAATCTATTAATTTCTTATTTGCAGAAAGGATATTATTGGATACTTGGTGATGTTGTTGAAATTGAAAACACCTATGAATGGTGTTATCTTGGTTGTCCCAAGTGCAACCGGAAGGTTGTTCCAAATGCTACAAGGTTCAAGTGTATAAAATGCGACAGAGATTGTGTTGAAGGAGTGTATAGGTTATAATTTGTATTCAAAAATTTAATACCCCAAAAGAATAATTTTTTAAATTACTAATTCATAACGTATGATTAATAGATACAAGGTGAGTATTTGCATTATTGATAATGGCGATGCTACTTCGCTTATTTTATGGGATAAGGAATGTTCAGAGCTTTTTGGCATGCCAGCCTGTGCCATGAAGAATGTGATGGACGAGGTATTGACTTATTAACTCTTTACAAAAAATTTTGTAGTGCAATTTAAGGTAACACTTTTTGAAACTATAGAGAAATGATGATTCAAGCAACACTCGGAAGGAGATTAGAGACATTGTTGATATGCTGGCTTTATTTTGCATATACGTCAAAGACGCTTTGGAAAACAATTCCTATATATGCTGGTGGCAAAAGTTTTGGAATTTCGGATCTTATAACAGATAAAACTACCATATCCCGGTATGAAACGACGGATTTGGAAGATCAATTTGAACAAGCCCTTAGAGAACATGAGAATAATGGAGATGCTTTAGAAATGGTATTTTTATTCACACCCATAAACTAACGTAATTTCCAAAAAAAACCACATCTTTATGAACAATGAAAAAATATTAAACTTTAATTTTATTTGCAGATTGGTTCAAATGATGTCATGAAGATTTTGAGAGAAGAGAGTATATCAAGAAAAGAAGTAATTCATCAAGCGGACCCTGTGAAGAGATCTTTACATGCGGAAAATAAGAGATTGAAGGCGATCAAGGTGGAGAAGGAGTGACATATGAATCAACAGTTCTATTTTGTGTTTGATGAATTTAAATTTTGATACATTTGCATCCTGTTTGGGTTTTTTTAATTGTTTTAAGTTTAATTCTGTTTTTTAAATTTTCTATAAAACAAACTTGCCTTTCTTAGGAGATTTGCTCTTAAATTTATGATTTCGTTTACTTGCATTTATAGTAATATATATATACATGTATTTTGAACGTTTAAATTAATATAAACATGTATTTTGGTAATAAAATATTCACACACGCCATGTTAAATAAAAAATTAAGTACGTATATCACACAAGGTAATTAAAAATCTAATTACCATAATAAAGCAAGGCTAATAAAATAGATATATTATAATGTTATTATGTTAATTTGTACAAATGGTAATTGTATTTAATTATATTTACTAATTTATATGTAATAATATCTAATAAACTATTATATTTAAAAATGGTAATATATACATGTATTTTGAATGATAAAATTAATCTAAAGTATTAAGTACGTATATTTAATATAAAGTATTAAGTACGTATATAAAAAAGATAATTAAAAATCTAATTACCATAATAAAGAAACGCTAATAAAATGGTAATTAATTTGGTAACGGAATCGTGTTTTGGTAATAAACTATTAAGTACGTATATAAAAAAAGGTAATTAAAAATCTAATTACCATAATAAAGAAAGGCTAATAAAATGGTAATTAGTTTAGTCATGGACAGCTCTATGTTGGAGTTTCAAGAGTAACTAATTATAGTGGATTGAAGATTCTGATATGCAAGAGAAAAGCAGCCTAGGGTTTTACAAGAGAAGGCCCACGGGCGAGTACAACTGTATTACACAATATAAAGTAGTCTGATATGCAATGAAGACAATACTCCCACAAATTGTACAAAAAATGTAGTCTATAAAGAAATCTTTCGAAATTTGTAAAACAGTGATGTTTTGTATCTTAAAATAATATAATTTCTATATTCAATTGCATCTCATTTTTTATATTGAAAAATGATCTGAATTTAATAACATAAAAATGAACCGTGTAACGCACAGGCGTGATACTAGTAAGAATATAATGTGAAAAGTAATTTCATATAAATACATTTTAAGCAAATAAAGAAAAACAACTACAAAAATATTTTAGTAATTTTATTCTTTCCCTACCTTAAGTTACCTAATAAACATCCAAATACAATTTTTTAATTAATTACCTTACTTTACATCTTTTCAATTACCTATCTTCAATTACTTACTATTACCTACCTAATAAAACTTTTACCTACCTCCAACCAAACATATCCTTAGAGTTAAGAGTCTCAAAAATAACTCACACTTTATTATTCAAAAATGGTAAGAACTGTTGTGAGAGATGTGTATTCTTTATTGATAATAGCTCCATTATATATGGAAAAGCAGCCTAGGGTTTTACAAGAGAAGGCCCACGGGCCAGTACAACAATATAAAGTAAATTCTATCTACACAACAGCACACTAATTTACAAATTCCTTCAACAAGAACTTTTGTTTATTTGTTTGTTTTTATTATCTATTTGATGAAATAAAATATTCTTATCATCTCTTGTATTATATAATTTTTGATATACTTTATTTATATATAAATTTTATTTTTTATTTATATACCTTCTCTGTCCATCATAGATCTTCCCAGACACTATTCACAGGGTCAAACTTTAATCACTTTGTTTGCTCATTTTTACTAGTCATTTCATAAAATAATATAGTCTTGTCACCTCTAATTTTGTAGAACTTTTCATGTCGTTTATTAGTATATATATAAATTTTATTTTAAAATTTTACTCCTATAATGAATTAAATTGAATTGAAAATAAAGTCGGTCAAGCCTCGTAACGCGTAATGGGAAGATCTTACATGGACGAGGAAGTACTAATCTTTAAATAAAATAATTTAGGGACATAGGTGTATATATTTTATTTTTATGTCCATTTTTTGGGTTTATTCTCAAAATTTAAAGGAAATTTTGAGTTTGAAACCTTAACATTTGAAGGTTTGACTCCCTTGACATTTCTCACTCCACCGTCGTCTTCTTCCATGGCGATAGCCGCAGCCGCCGTAACGCTTCCCCTCAGGGCTTCCAATCGCCGACCTTTGTCTTCCTCCTTCACCGTTCCGTTCAATTTTTCTCATTACACGCCGTCATCCTCGCGACGGCATACTCTGAGTTTCTCCGTTCGGCTCTCTTCTCTCCGCATTTCGGCTGCTCTGTCAATGAGCACGGAAGCTACGGAGAAAGCTTATCCGGCTTCGTTTCTTGATCGCAAAGTAGGTGGATATATTCACTTCGCAAAGTACCATGGCCTCGGCAACGATTTCATACTGGTAATTCTATACTTCTATATGCTTGTGTTTATGCGCACATCATCGTTCATGAGATTGTTTATTGCTAATTTTCCAATAATTTTCCTTTTTTTAAAGGAGAAAGGAAATGTTTGTTTTTTATGCCAACTGATTTTGTAAAAAAAAAATCTTTAGTTATTTCTGAAAACTGTGATATTAAATGTCAGCAATAGAGAAAAATTCTAGCACATCCTTGTTAAAGAAATAAAGTCCTCAAAGTTTTCTAGTTGCTGTTGGTTCACCCTTCACCATTACCCCGGAGTAAAAAATACTAATCCTTTTCTTTTACTGGTTAAGTAGTTTCTTGATTGGGTGTAGAGGTCAGATGAATGTTTATTGAACAATTAAGTGATTTCATAGCTATCAAAGTTAAGCGCTTTCATATCCGTTATCATTGTGTACCTGTTATAGTAACTGGTCAAGAGCTCAAGGTCCAGCTAAAGTGCTGACATCTATGACATTGAGTCATTGAGCCGTCTTTTCTCCACAAACCATATCATCAAACACATGGAATTGACTGTTGAGGACGTATCTTACAAAAAGAATCTCTTTTCTATTTTGATAGTTTATTGCTGAGGTTGCTGACCAATAAATTTTCAGTTGCTATATCTTAGGATGCCAAATACGTAATTGTGAAAAGAATCATTATTATTTTTTCATTCAAGTAACTGAAAAACAAACTGACATGGGAGCTTCTTCAGTATCATTCATGAAGCTTGCCATTCCACATTTATCAGTGAAAAATATTACAGGCTTACAAGTGATCTTATAATTTTTTATAGGCCGAGTGTTTTCAATGCAGGTTGATAACAGAGATTCTGCAGAACCTAAAATCACCCCTGAGCAGGCTGTGAAACTGTGTGACAGAAATTTTGGCATTGGTGCCGACGGGGTGATTTTCACAATGCCTGGCACCAATGGGACTGATTATACCATGAGGATATTCAATTCTGATGGCAGTGAGCCTGAGGTAATGTGTTGCTTTATCCTTAATCCAATATAGTTGCTTTTAGGTAGCAGTTCGCCACATTAGTAGTTGAACATCTGACCAACAACCGGTCGTATTTAATTCATTTTTGAAATTACACGTCCAATGTTGTTTCTCTAGCTTTTAAACTTCAATTCTTGTTTCTGAACTGCATAGACATTTACACAGTACTTGAGATAGAGGTCCTTCTGTATGCAGATGTGTGGTAATGGAATTCGATGCTTTACCAAATTCATATGCGAGCTTGAGAATCTACATGGAAAGCAAAGGTACCATTTCATTATGCTTCTTTTTATGCTGCTATTTCCTCCGTCCCATAAAAATGTTCCACATTTTCTTTTTTTCTTTGTCCCAAAAAAAGGTTCACCAAAACATCAACCACATACTTTCATCTTTATTAATAACGGTTTCCGTTCACTTTTGGAACCTTATTTTGGGACGGATGAATATTATTACCATTCTTGGGCTATGCACTAGTTATGATATCTAACTAAAGCAAACAGATAACAGTTTTCTTATTAATCACTATTGGCTGATTATCATATGCCCTTATTTTTTATTCCCTTAGCTTCACTGTACACACTGGAGCTGGCTTGATTGTTCCTGAGAGACACGAAGACGGAAAGGTGATCTCTCTCTCTCTCTCATGGTCCACTCAATGTCTTAACATAAAATGCTCTATGTTCTCATTGTTTTAGGATGGAATATTGGAATTATGGCATTTAATTGAAAATAGGGTAATTTACCTAAATAGGACTAAAACATAATGACTTTCTCAATATAGGACCATATGTTTTTTTATTTCCCAATATAAGACCATTGGTCATTATTTATTAGTCATTATTCAAGTAAATGTCCACGTTCACTGGACATTATTCCTCCCACTAGACATTATTAAGTACAGAGTACTATTTAGAGAATAAAAAAGTTTAAATCCTACATTGGGAAATGACTTATGATTTAGTCCTATGTAGTGCAAATTTCACTTGAAAATATTTGCATTAAATGATATTCTCTACATTAGATATAATTCATCATAAGTTTCAGGTTAGGGTTGATATGGGTGAGCCCGTTCTCAAGGCATCAGATGTTCCCACAAAATTATTGGCAAATAAAGATCAATCTGTTGTTAAAGGAGAACTGGAGGTTGATGGAACTACTTGGAGTGTGACATGTGTTAGCATGGGAAATCCTCACTGTGTAACTTTTGGTACAGGAAACAAGGTACACGCCTAGCATTGATGAACGTGGTTGTGGATAGAACTATTAAGAGGATGTTCTTTTACAGAGGAGACACTTAAAATTTTCACTTAGAAAAGATTGTTTTGAGCTTTAGTTTTCCAATTAAATACTGTAGCTTGAACTTATAAGTTCCCTTCTTGTTGTGCCTAGTTGTGAATTGCTTACTTCGAACTAGATGCTTATCTATAGTACTCAATCTATCTGGAATATTCTGGATATTATTGACTTGGTGATCCTATTTTGCCTGTTACGACTTACAACAGGATTTGCAAGTGGATGAGATGAACTTGGCAGAAATTGGTCCAAAGTTTGAAAATCACGTTATGTTCCCTGCACGAACTAATACTGGTAAGTTCAACCTTCACGCAGCACAACTGTCTTTTATGCGTGTTTTAGTATTCCTTTCTGTTCCAACACGTTATCTTGCTATTAAGTTAACCTGTATTGTGTTGAAATTGGGGTATTTTTCACTGCAACACATACCGTTTGGATCTTGCAGAATTTGTGCAAGTGTTGTCTCCGACGCACCTTAAAATGCGTGTCTGGGAGCGTGGTGCAGGTATGTTTATCTGCAGTAAACGATTCTGCAAAGAATTGGTGCTTTCTGAAACTGTCTTATGTTAATGCTTGTGTGCTCAATGGAAGGTGCAACCCTGGCTTGTGGAACTGGAGCTTGTGCTGTAGTTGTTGCTGCCGTGCTTGAGGGCCGTGCTAGAAGGGTAAGCTACTAAGCTATGTGAGTGGTGTGTGTGTTTCATTTACGGACTAAAAGAAAAGGTGAAAAATTAAATTGGAATTGTCGTTACTTGGAGAATGTGCCATAACGAGCATGTACCCCATAATGTGACTATTTAAACAAACCAAAAATACCCAATATCCCAATCAGATGTAGAATCAGAGGGTCAGATGCATGGTTTACCTCTACCCTTAAGGAGTAATCCGTGAGGACCCTCGACAAACAGCGAAAGGCAGTGTGAAAAGTGCATTTAAAAAAGTGCTTGTGAAAAGGTGAAAAACTAACATGTATAAACATCCACATTGATTTTGAATATAAAGGATACAACAATACACACCAACATATGCCGGCTTGAGTCACTACACATACCAAGTTGACATTTAGTATGTAACTCCCAGGTTCAACACTATCGTTATGTGTCTTTTGGGTTTCTCATAATCGGCTATTCTTTCTTGAAACAGCGGTGTACTGTCGATTTACCTGGCGGGCCACTTGAGATTGAATGGAAGGAGGATGACAACCATGTGTATATGACTGGCCCAGCAGATATTGTCTTTTATGGAACTGTTCCTCTCTAAAGCCACCAGCTCCCATACCACTTAACTATATTTATTCTCCATTTTGGGCATTGCATTAGTCTTTAAAACTTTCCTGAACTTCATATCCAATTTTCTTCATGTAGTTCACTAGTTCCATGATGCAATGCTTAACTTCTGAGAACATGACATGCCATCTCCACTGGCTTTTCTGTAGTACTGAGATGTTGTACCACAAAAAAAAACATTTTTCGTCATTTAAATTTGTTATAATGCTCTCAATTTAGACATATGTGCTTGGATGTTTTGTACTGGCGCGTTTAGCTTTCGAGTGACCTCAGTTTCGACATTGTTTCTCAGCATAAACGAAATTTTCAATGAAGGTAATGCATGCAAGCCATTTGGAAATGTTGTATGCAAAGTGAAAGGAGTATTAAGCTACTGATGTTCAAAATGTGAATTTTATTTACCTCTAACATTGGTAAAGCTTATGAAAAACTTGAACCCCCCCCCCCCCCCCGAGAATCCTCCAACCCGTTAACTCTATACCACTCGTTTCATTCCAATGTAAATTGTTTGTTTCGAGTTATCTGACTGGATTTATTTTAAAGATAATTTATTTTAGAACCGGAGTAGAATTAAAAATAAAACTTACTCTATATTTAAAAAACTAATCAACTGAGAAAAAAATGAAATTTGACATTGTAAATAAGTGATTGACAACTTAATTTGGGATGAAAGGAAACATTTTTCATAGCAGGTTTCAAGTTACGGGAGATTGGTTTCCAATATACGGAGTATAACAACATTGACACTATGCTTCCTTGGTAATTGAGCCATTTTGATACCCCAAAATCATCCATTTTCCAACTTAAAAATTAAACCTCAATTGGTAACAATAAATTATCATTCTATAAAGTTATCATTTGTGAAACTTAAATTTTCATCAAATTTCAAGGACTATCCAATTAATCGAAATACAATACTGATACTTAAGAATCTAGACATACTCAAATCAAATACAACTAGTCGGAATTGGCTTGTCCCCCCGCCCTCGCCCCAACCCTTTGTCTTATCAAACCATTCAAACCTCATATTATGTAATATGCAAATAGAATTTTAGCGGGTGGGGGTTACGAAGTTGGCAATGTAAGAGATGTACATAGGTAACACTCATGTTCTATTCCTGGAAACTGCGCTGAGAGACAATTATGTTAAAAATCGAATCTCTGCAAGTGTCAGGTGGATGCTCTACTCTTTGCAACCAATCTATGATTAAAACTCAATTTACCTTTTCATAGGTGATCGTCCGGTCAATTCTTCCTCAGAGATAAGGTTCATCTTTTTTTTTTTTGCAATTGAAATTTAAAAATTTTAGATATCAATAATTTTTCAATTTTTTTGAAACATTTTTGTAACAAACCCTTTATGGATATCTTCATAAAAAGATCACGATTTTCTTTTTGCGCAATTTATATTGTACAACCAGTTGTACCCAAAGTTGGGTACCACCAGCTTTAAAATGAAATAGCCACGAGGAGCAGTCGCGGAAGAGCTAGATTGTCGCCAGAAGAACTCTAGGTGTGACACGACAACAGAGCTGGATTGCCGTAAGCATGCGTGGAAGAGCAACAACCCTAGGTGCAGATGCGAGCGATGATTGAGGCGCTATTCGTTGGGACAAAACTGAGAAACCCTAAGTCTAGCGATTGTTGATGCCTCGTGGAGATTTGCAGCAATGACAACGATGAAGATAAAGATGACTATGCTAATTGGAGTAATGTAAGTTTGATTATATTATATGATTATATTTTCCAAATCTGAAGAGGATGAGTGAAACATTACTTGAGTATGGACACTACGGTATTTGAGATTTGAGAATGAATATCATTTTGTTGCAGAATAAAGGGAAAGAATAAAGTAGGAGTAAAACATTACAAATATACAACATATATGAGCTTCATTGTTTTATTTTCAAAATAAGAGTTAAAATGCATTGACATTATCAATCATGACCATGTACTTCTATTTAGAGAATAAAAACATGATTCTTATTTTGGTACTTTTTCTATTTTTAGAGGGTGTTTGGGAGTGATTAACTTATAGATAAAGAGATTTCCACAAAAGTTGAAAGCAAAAACACCTCATACCTGCTTCTCTGAAACGGTGTTCTATGTACAAAATAGTGGTGGTGAAAAACAAAAGCTGAAATGCCAAACAGAGTAAAACTACTTCCACTCAAAGCAGAAACTAAATTATTAAAAGCAACGCACTGATAAACTTTGTTTTAATCTTATTTAGAGTGATTTCTTCAGATTGAACATTATATTCTTCATATTTAAATAATACTCCGTAGTAGTCCGTAGTATTGAACGAATATACTCCCTCCGTCCCCAATTTGATTACAAATTGGGGGTTACGGAGTAAAATTTCCTATTTTTTGAAATCATTTTATTTACAAATTGGTATATCAATAAGTTATAAAAATTACATATTAAAAAACTACGTCAAAATTTCTACAAAATAAGAGGTGACAAGAATATTTTATTTTATCAAATACTTGATGAAATCGCGTAAACAAACAAAAGTTATCGAGAGGAGAGAAAAAAAATTGTAATCAAATTGGAGACGGAGGGAGTATGAAAATGAGTGGGCTTGGAATGGGCTGTGTACGCCTCTACCATATACCCTTCTCTCCTTCTTGCGATTCTTTCTTTGATTTCATACCTTAGTAAATTCCAACCCTTTTTCTCCTCAATTTCATAAAAAAACTCATCTAGTGCCGGCAGGCGTTTTCAAGGTCGGGGACGATTGAGGGTTTGAGGCCGCAGAGTGCCATGGTGATTTCTTAAGGGTGGTTTTCCCGTTCTGCGGGCCAATGATTTCTCAAAACTTAAACAGTCCTTTATATGTTTATTCATCATCATCATCATCATACTCGTCCCGTTTCATCATCATCATCTTCTTCTTCTTCTTGTCTTCAACTTATAAACACTTGGCCGTCCATGGAATCGGTGCCTGATTAAGCACCGGCTTTATTGGCGCATGAGTCTGTGATGAATCGATGATACATTTTCTTTATTTCGTCGGCCATGGAGAAACCTGTCCGTTGATGGCATGGCAATCCAGGATTGCAGCCACACGGGTCGTCTTCTTAACCATGGATGACTTTTAAACACAGATCTGAGACTCAATCTGAGGATGGCATATTGAGATTGGTTCTGGAATTACCCCGTAAGGAGGGTTTTACTCACATGTAGTACTAATCTCATGAGGCTGCAGAGGGGATGCGGGTTTTCTAAGGGTGGTTTCCCCTCCCTGCATGCCTATGATTTGTATGATTTCAGGCTGCCCTTCAAATATAACAGCCCTTTAGAAATGCAGTACGTACTAGTAGTTTGAAAAGAATGCTACAAGTATACCACACTTTCTGTTTCTCCACCAATCTTGTTAGGCTGTGATGATATTATAATATTCTTAGGAGATTCATGGGTTGAGGAAGTTTGATCTGTATCTTGGCATGGCAAATCTAGAAGAAACTGAGGTTTGCAGCCATGGCTGTATCTTCTTTCCTTTACCCATTGAAATAAAATGATCTGAGCCCCATATTTTCTAACACTCCGGTCTTGTTTTTCTTTGAACTTTTTTTTCAACTCAATGTTTTTAGTTCAGTTCTTTTTTATTATCAATTAAAACTAAACTATACACATTTAGTTCAACATTTTAATTCAACACTTAGGGGTTGTTAAATAACACTTATTATCAGTACTCTTCAGTAGTGCTTACACTGCTTAGTTCAAGATTACACTACAATCACTTCAGCACCATCATTTTAGTTCAGTACCATTGTAAATTCAACGGCTCTTTATTATAAATTTTAGATAAGTGCTATTTAAAAGCCCCTTATTGTAAATTTCAGTCTAAAAGAAGAAACCCTTCATTGTGGTATACATCTTGAATTCTTAAGTAGATTAAGTGTTTTAGACTCATTTCTTCCTTTCCTCAAACCAAACACACTTTTATGCATAGAGATTAGGGCTTCTTTAAGTGCTGGTGGCCATCTCGATTTTCTTCTATGCTATTGATTTCTTCTTTAAATTTCAGTGTCTCCTTCATGGATGATCATAATGTTATCTCCCTTTCATGCTTTAGTCTTTTGAGAAAGCATAGGGCCCTTTTATGCGTGGTTTCTTGTTTGTAGGTTTGGAAGTCACATTCAAGTTATTTACCAAAAAATTGGTTTTTGGATACATTCTTGATTCTTTAAGATGATATTTAGACAATTGGTTTTGATGTACCACTATGGTTGGTGCTGGTGCAGGAGGTAGAATCTATTGCTGATGCTTTTGATTCAAGGCATCAAACCCATGATGGATTCAGAATCTCATCTTTTTTTTATGACGATTGTGATGGGAAGGGCCTACCACGTAAAACATTTTCACATGCTTTTTTGCATGAATTTACTATTAATCAGCCTTAATTGAAGCTATAAATTTCATCAGACTGACAGCTACTAGTTGGGATTATGCCGGATGATGAATATGAATCTTCAACTGGTAGCCCAGAAGGTATTGAGGCCGAAGAGAGATTAAAATTTTCTTTAAAGGGTTGTTCCCATTCTCTCCTTGGCCTACGATTTCCATCTTCATCACAAATCCAAACAACCCTTTGATCTTTTCTGCTACAGAATATATACTAGGAAAAATAAATCTCTTGGAAACTAATATGGTTGTGATGCTCTTTTGCTTTGCGTTTCTCTTTCTTGGTTACTATCGTGTGACCCGTATCCTGGCAATAGAATCTGGAATTGCGCCTTGTTATTTGAAGCCATGGCGGTGTTAGCTTACTATTTTTCTACAAAGAACTAGATCTGAGCCTCACCAAATGCGTTTTGTTTAGGCTCTATTTGGATCATGGAAAACACTAGAGCCAGAAAAAGAAATTTTAAGGAAAAGTATTTTATTGTGTTTGGTTTTCTCTTGAAAATTCAAAGGTAAATGGAAAATCATTGTTTTTTGTACTTGTTTCCAAANTGGGTCAAACATGACGTTGAACTTGGGCATGGATTTCAAGATTTCCTATGAACAAGTCTGTAGATCCATGGGGATTTCTAAGGGTGGTTGTCCATCTCAGAGTGTCAATGATTTCCCAAAATAAAAAGATCCTTAATATGTTTATGATGCATATACCATCTGTCTTTTCTTCATCAACATTTCGGCTATTGGACGGGGCTCATGCAACCACTATAGTCAGTGCTAAACTGCTAATGGCACCTCAGTGACTGGTAAAACAGTGGATAATTGGTCTGTTGATGGCTGGGTGGTCTGGGATTATTAGATTTTCTTGTGAGACCAGGATTGCAGTCTGCAATCACTCCTTAGGCTGTTCTGGCGGACTCCTAACCTTAGGAATGCAGTTTTTTTCTCTCATGCTCTGATCATTATGCCTGGCTTGCCCATCCCTCCTTGCCAATTACTACACTATTACGGATCATTTTGAAATTTAATCCGTAATAGGTAGTAGTAATTATACTTTGTCTCAATTTATGTTGCTCACTGACTTGACATAGACTAAGAAAGTGAAATCTGTGTGAGCAAGATAAACTGGGACAGGCCAAATAGGATAACAAGCAAGATGGATATTTTTTTTTTTTTGAATCAGGACTGTGATTCTGGGACGAAAGATTTGATAATTTTTAGGCAATTCTTGCTATATATACCATCCATCCCTAAATAAATATAGTTTTAAATAAATAAATGTTATAAAAAGAAGATATATGAAAACTAAATCTTAAAATGCACCTAATTTTATTAAATTTACATCATAACTAAATATATGTTTTACAATGTGGTCAAAGTTTTGTAAAATTTGACCTAAAAAGTCAAAGTGCACCTAAAAAATTCTGCACACTGAATTTTTTAGCATTGAAGATTTGAAGTACTCCGTATTTGCATTTTGTTGAACTTGCATGTATATATATAAAGTAGAGTTCTTTGGCTGTGGGGTTGACACATGGCAGATGACGTGGCTTCAATCTTGCTAAGTTGGACTGCCAGCAATCATATTGAAATTAATTGAACAAGACTTTGCACATTCCTTAATTGCAGCCGGTTCTTTTATCAATTCTTCGTTTCTTTTCAGAGTTCTCTCTTGTGTCCGTTCATCCTCAACTTATCGCTGGTTCGGAGAAGAGATGTAACAGGGCCTCTGCGGCTGTCGCCACCACTAACCGGCGACATGTCTTCTCAGACCAGGGCCGCCCCTCCTTCAAAGTTAGATATGCCTTCAATGTTAGATATGCTCACAAGGAGAAAAGGGGCAAAGATGAAATGATGAACGCCAAACGGCTTTTAGGTATCATCTCAAAATCTCAAAATATACCCCTTATATTATCTTAGTCTTTCAATATTTTTCAAACAGACCTACAATTAAATATACTTTCTCATATTTGTTCCCTCTCCCACCCTCAAGGCCTCAATTCTATTTTTTTCAAATATGGCACATCCACATTTTTGGAAAATCGAGCGTATGTGAGAATGTGACTGCTTCGTTATTGAGAGCTTGAGGTGCTTCCATCTTCAGTCATCACTTTGGTCTCCTTTGTCAGTACGATAGTTGTAATGTTTCTTTTTTCTAACTTCAAATTTTAGTAATTAATCCAAATTCAATTTATTGACTATTGAATAATTTGTTTGATGACTATTTTTATTTTTTTTCAGAATTTAAATGGACTTGGTAGACCTTTCACGTATTTAAGTTCCAGTTTGTTTCCTAAGTTTATCATTTTGTTCTTGAATGCTTTGATTTAAAATGAGTAATAGAATTAGAAAGTTTAAACAAATTTCAAAAAGGGGCTCTTGATAAGTTTGTTATAAAATATTTACTTTTTTCAAGAAATGAGAATCAAACTCTTCAAGCTATGAAAATTGAGAGTGTTGATATTATTGATGTTTCATTTGATATTAATGAAATAATTGAAATTGAGAACTTTGATAATATTGATGTTGGTTAGGTATTTCTTTTATTTTGTCAATCTTCTTGCAATTAACGTCCATAGGGAGATTTTTTGCAGTTTATATGTTCGATGTTAGGAGAGTGTCAGTTGAGCTGAGCTATGGTTAGAGATGTGCTTTGTAAGTTCTTAACTGTGTCTTCTCAGCTATTATGTGTTGTATTTTTCTTTAATGATTTTGTTGATTATAACTAAAAGGACCATAAGAGAAGAGACGGCCATGCGTCAAAGGAGCTAATCCTGCTAGATGATGGTGCTATGGTTTAAAATACATAAAAGGTATTGTTTCTCTTTTGAATTGTCACGGATTAGGGTTCCTTGAGGAAGCAAATGACCATGGGAAAAGGGGAATATCATATTCGTGGGAGACCTTGCAGCAAAGGAGGTATCAAATCTCTATTGAATGGCCACTAAGGGGAACACCAAAAAAATGGTGTTTTTTCATCAACAAAAAGGGGAATACAAAATCTAAAATTGAAATGAGATGCATGAATTTACCTCCTCATTGTTAGTTTGTCTATATAAAAAGTATCAATTCTCTGCATGAATTTACAGAGCGGTTTAATTGTTGTTACGACATGTGTCATCCTACGTGGCGTTCTATGTGTTTTTTTACGCTTAGTCATCAAGAGGGTTAAATGCAGAGGAGAACAGGAGGTTTAACGGATGTTTAGGTTTGAAGACGTACTTCAGGTTCTGTTGTTCTGATGCTTACTTCCTGTTTCCATGTGTGATGATGATGATGATTATGATAATGATTTCAACAACAACAACAACAACAACAATAATAATAATATTGATCTTCCGCTCTTTTCTCTTATACTTTTGTACACCTGTATCCTGAGGCTATGATGAAAATGGTCACTTTGTCGCTGACCCAATTGATGAGGATTGGGTCAACACATACTGTAATGTGGCGGGGCAGGCATGCCAACGAGCATCTCTGCAGCCATTGCGTGTCGGAACTCAGAACAATCATCCCCAGCACTCAAATGAATTGATGATGTCAAAGGGCATGCGCTATGCCAACCAAGTAATATTTTACTATTAAACATCCCACTTTTCTTTAGAAAGCTAAACTTGGGACGGAGGGTGTGTTATATTATTATTATTATTATTATTATTATTATTATTTACTTTCATTATTATTATTATTATTATTTCTATTAAAAAGATTTATTCTGCTATGTTCTTTGCATAATATGGTTTCTGTTTCAGGCTCTTTTTTCTGGATGCTCAGCTGGAGGTCTTGCTGCCATATTACACTGTGATGAATTCCGCAATTTATTTCCACAAAACAGTAATGTGAAGTGCTTGAGTGACGCTGGGCTATTCATGAACGCGTAATAATTCTTCCCCTCCCCAAGTTCTTAAGAGGTNCGTGGCAATCCAGGATTGCAGCCACACGGGTCGTCTTCTTAACCATGGATGACTTTTAAACACAGATCTGAGACTCAATCTGAGGATGGCATATTGAGATTGGTTCTGAAATTGCCCCGTAAGGAGTGTTTTACTCACATGTAGTACTAATCTCATGAGGCTGCAGAGGGGGTGCGGGTTTTCTAAGGGTGGTTTCCCCTCCCTGCATGCCTATGATTTGTATGATTTCAGGCTGCCTTTCAAATATAACAGCCCTTTCGAAATGCAGTACGTATTAGTAGTTTGAAAAGAATGCTACAAGTATACCACGCTTGCTGTTTCTCCACCAATCTTGTTAGGCTGTGATGATATTATAATATTCTTAGGAGATACATGGGTTGAGGAAGTTTGATCTGTATCTTGGCAGGGCAAATCTAGAAGAAACTGAGGTTTGCAGCCATGGCTGTATCTTCTTTCCTTTACCCATTGAAATAAAATGATCTGAGCCCCATATTTTCTAACACTCCGGTCTTGTTTTTCTTTGAACTTTTTTTTCAACTCAATGTTTTTAGTTCAGTACATTTTTATTATCATTTAAAACTAAACTATACACATTTAGTTCAACATTTTAATTCAACACTTAGGGGTTGTTAAATAGCACTTATTATCAGTACTGTTCAGTAGTGCTTACACTGCTTAGTTCAAGATTACACTACAATCACTTCAGCACCATCATTTTAGTTCAGTACCATTGTAAATTCAACGGCTCTTTATTATAAATTTTAGATAAGTGCTATTTAAAAGCCCCTTACTGTAAATTTCAGTCTAAAAGAAGAAACCCTTCATTGTGGTATACATCTTGAATTCTTAAGTAGATTAAGTGTTTTAGACTCATTTCTTCCTTTCCTCAAACCAAACACACTTTTATGCATAGAGATTAGGGCTTCTTTAAGTGCTGGTGGCCATCTCGATTTTCTACTATGCTATTGATTTCTTCTTTAAATTTCAGTGTCTCCTTCATGGATGATCATAATGTTATCTCCCTTTCATGCTTTAGTCTTTTGAGAAAGCATAGGGCCCTTTTATGCGTGGTTTCCTGTTTGTAGGTTTGGAAGTC